TTTGCTTCGCCCTTGTTCCTCTTTTTTTCATAATCTTGCTCTGAGGGCACAGCTATAGAGCTTCTGACTCCCGTGACAAACTTAACTCACGCGTTTCCTCAATGTTATGGCTCACACCAAGCGCTCTACAAATCCACTTTATAACAACTATTAATTTAAAAAGTTGTATTATATAAATACTTAGCACGACCAGAATTCTAACCCAATTATGTCGAGCTTGGATCTAGTGAGTAACATGGGCGCAATGCCACCTTAGAAAATATTTCGAAAGGCTGCACTCAGTGCAACATCAAGGCATAAACCTAATCACCAACGCTCCAAGACATCTACACGAATGTACTGTTATTTACTTCTGGCAGAAATATATTATCATGCTATATTGATAACCTTATAAAACGAAAATAATTTTCATTATACAAATATATTCGGAAGAATAGGTAGAGGAAACAGAATGCGACGACTGAATTATGGGCCAGTCCATGGAATGCAACTGATTGATACTCATTTGTTGTCCTTGACTATAATGACGATCAACAAACTTCTTGGCATTCAATGACATGCATATGAATGAATTGGCTGAAGAGCAGTTATATTTTCCTAGTCCTACAAATCTATCCCTGTCATAATAAACATGTCATTATACTATCATTTAGAATGTACGCTTCAAAAGTTCTCACAGGGTGGGTCCTTATGATGATGACGTGACGTTAGCGTAAGATTATGTAAGTTGGGTAGTCATAAAATAGCAAGTTTAAGATATTATATTAGGTTGTAGGGTCACTGAATATCGAACAGATCACTGATCCCTGTCAAGGTCGAGGATAGTCAACGCGCACAAACCAATCGTACGCCATGGACTGGCCCACACGCAGTGGTTATTCTTTCACTTCTGTACTTCCGTAGTTGTACCTTAGCTAATATATTCTTGTCATAACGTCCTTTGTGTTGTACAGTCTCCATAGCATCTATTATCCTTTGATGCGTCGATGGTTCAATCCACGTAAGGGCTGGTCGCGAGGTGTGACTTCAGCGTTAGTTGGTTCGTCCCCATTCTCGTCTAACTATAGTAGGCCCCCAATCATTTCGACATAGATCATCAACGAAGATGGACTACAAGGTCTATTGTTCCAGAAAGGTAGATAAGGATTCTAATGCAGACCATGATCTAGATCCATTAAGATATCCTAGTGATCTTATGTCTTCTATTTTTATTCATCATTTAAGGTTGTATTTTATTTCAAATGTTAATAGGGAAACTGAATAGGCACGTTATATAGAATCCATTTGCATGCCGTAATCAAAACTGAAAACTTTCACTGAACATATCTTCACCCGTGAGTATTCCCTTGTTTTTTTTACATATCTCGTTTCTTCTATTGTTGACTGCATCTACACATATTTGCTTCTCTTTTGCTTTGTTTGCAATTACTGTTATAGCACTAACATTTTCTGAAGCGTGGTCAACTCGTAGATGTTGTTGGGGTTTCGAGTGCCACTTAGCTCTGGCGTTATCAAACAATTTGAATTCTGATAACTGCCATATTGTTGATGGATTTAGTATTGTGAATCTAACACTGGTGGGATAGATACTTGATGTCCCAACTGCTAGAAACGTCTATTGTTTTTGAAAAGTTGACCGCTCCCTTCGGTCTTATCAGATTGATGAAAGTTTTTGTCAGGACATTATTCCTGAGTTGGAAATATCTTTATACTTTTTGCAGATCAGCATAACAAGATTGCTATTGTAATGGCGATTGAAGTGAAACCGTATTTACCCCTCGTTTAGTTGGCATGAAGAGGCTTTGAAGTGGTTGTCTTAGGTTTATCACGCCATGTTTGGAACAATGGTAGAGACCTAATTTCAACACATGAATCTACCACTATTAGATATGGGATTATATTAAATGCAACATCATAATGAAATAAAAAAGTGAATAAACATCATACTAAAAGCATTTTAATCCTAATAGGAGATTATCGGCCAGTTCTTAACCATCGAACTCAAACTTTTACGACTGTATCGGTAGGAGGAAGTATTTCCAGGTACGGTATTTTTCATCTGTAATAATATCTATTCATTTAATGCTCCAGCATAAGTTGCTTTTTATAGTTTCTCATATTACCAAGCAGGATTCATCGCGCAAAAATAACCTTTTCGATACGCTTAACTGGGTTTGTCATAATATTTCTTCGATTTAGAGCTGTTTGCACTGTCGTGAAATCTGGTTTCCTCATCATGTGTCTTTTCGCTCTTAGAAAATATGAACCGAGGTTTCGAAAATTACTTGACTGAAATCTGAGCACTGTTAGATGAACACTCTGCACCAATGAACATTGGAGTGTCTCAGTAGTGGAAGTGTTGTTCTGAAATTGAGACCATAAGTGATTGCCAGATTCCTTATGAAGAAGATATTGTGAGAATTACTTATCCCTCCCTAAAGTTTTGAGTTAAACTGGCATTGGCTTCCTTTCGAAACAATCTAACTGTTGTCCAACGATGTGGAGAGGGCTTACTTGGGTTGGACGGGAATGATGTGGTAACCTGGTTTCCGTCACCATCACAACTCACGAGTTATACCTGATCTACGATATTCTGTGGTGTTAACTAGGCTCTACAACTGATAAAATAACTCTCTGGAGCAAACATAATCTCATAAAAAAGACTGGAGAAACACATTAGCGCCACTGACACGTGATTCACCTCTAATCAGGCTGCCTCAGTTATCCTCGATCTTGGCGGTGTTCGGTGAACTGCCGACCATATAATGATTTGCTATCCAAAATGGAAATGGTTTAATTTGATGAATGGTTTGCGTAAGGCTCAGCAACATTTAACTAGCTTTACGTACCCAAGATGATATCGTCCCCAGCAGATAGTATTCCCTAGGTTGCCAGGCCTCTCAACCCTATTCCAGAAACAATCACTAAACTAAACGTTGGTGTTAAACATCATTTCAAATCTTTTGCTCCTATAATAACACCGTTATTTCAAATAGTCACGTCATTAGCTCTCAAGTATCAATCTTAGCTTCACTTTAGAAAGACCAGGAGGACAGATGTCATGTGAAAGTCCTCGCGAACAACATTTTTCTGAAAGTGTCGATGTATGAAGCGTCAATCACTTGTCGACGAAGCGAATTCCATTTGCTGATGATTCGATGGGAAAATCGACTTTAGCGCCAACATATGCAAAGGCTCTACTCATTGACAATAAGGTTCTTAAACTTTTTATCTATACCGCATGGCAGCGTGCAGTAGTTCTTAATTCTTCGCTAAAGACTATTTCTGAGTCATTATATGCCTGGAAAACAGGTGGTTCGATGTTATTCACCGTGTATGTATCTATGCCTTGGTGACCGATATGCGTCACAATGCAATTGGAATCATGTATCGGCAACTTCCAAATTCAGAACGTTCAGATAATTCCTCCAGGTCATTTTGAAGCTCTAAATTATCACCTTTACTTTCTTATCGCTCTCCATATCTTCACATCGTCAGCATATAACAAGACCGGTAGTGATAGGAGACTAGAAGGTTATATACATAATGAGAGGAACAACACTAATCCGAAAACTGTACTCTGAGGCACTCTGTTATGCACAGTTTCCCACATAGATCTTTATGAGTTCGCTCGTACTCTTTGTTGATGCCCAACTAGGAAATCTGTTATCCACACTAATAAATTGCCTTCAATCACGATAATACTTAACTTATATAACAGCCGGTTGTGAGGGATTTTGTCAAATGCCTTTTGAAAGTCAATTTATGCTACATCTATAGGTAGTTTCTGATCTTTGAGAGAGCACCAACTTTCATGTGCCAATAATAGTTAAGTGAGACATGAATAACCCGTTTAAATCCATTCTGCTTTTCAGAAAGAATCCGGCTTTCGTCGAGATATTCAAACAACTCCTTGCGAATAATCTTTTTCTAAATTTCTAACAACCAAGCTGGCTAGGCTTACGGGTCAGTAGTCCTCAGGATTATATCCCATACCTATTTTGAAGATAGGACTTACCATAGTACTCTTCCAGCTATGTGATAATCGTCCTTGGGTTGCAGACAGATTAAATTATATGCTTATGGGGTTCACAACATAATCTGCTGATTCCTTTAGTAACCTTTAGTAACCCAAAAGTTTACAATTCTAAGGTCATTTTCGTCAGCATTCAGTCTTACTTTTAGTTTCCTTAGTTCCTTCCGCAAGTGGCAAGTCCTTACGAATAAAATCTCCTGACCCCTTTAGTTCATGTCGGTTCGGTAGTAGTAGGTCCCTTTAATTAGGAGATTCAAACCCACGTTTATCAGTCTGATTTGACATTGTTTCAAGTACGTTCAGCTACATAGTCTATAAACCTTCATCAAAGTGACCCCGGAGACATCCTGAGGCAGTGACATGTCGAGTGGATCTTTTATCAACCCAATATCATGCTCAAAGCGAGTTCTGGGTTCTGAGCTTTCACTTTCCTTAACTCTATGAAAGACAACTGACCTGCCACTGTGATCAACATTCTATTTATCAACTGCTGTTTGGCACAGTGGCCTTTCTCCAGCGATATTAGGTCTTTTCTTATTCTTAATTTTTACCCATTCATCAGGGTAGTAGTCACAGTCATGTTACATACACACTGTGAGATCCCGGATGATTGTCGGTAACTTGAGTGGTCAGACTGTTGTTTTTCTTGCTACAAACAGACTTAGCCTTGTCACTTGAATCCTTAGGCGTTTCATGCTCGTTGCCATTTGGAGGAAGAGGAGACATAAAAACCTTTCTTGGGCTTTCATTTCTAACAGACCACTTTGAAGTTGGTCCTGACTCATCTGGTCCATATGCGCCAGTCGACTATGAGCTTATTTGAGATAACTTCTTATCGACTCATGTACTGACAGAGCGAGTACACTTACTAATACTTCTTTTAGCAGCGTTGACCATTGCAAATGCTTCGGACAACAAGCTGTTTGAGTCCGAGCAGCATTGCTGACACAACCACATGCATACATTTTTACTAAGCCGTTTGAAGACCTCAGGCGTTAGATCTGTGCGAAATTCGTGGTCAGGGAACAGAGTAAGAGAAAGCTTATATTTCACTCATTATCATTCTATGCTCCTAGCTGTAACCTTGAAACGAGGTCGCAGAGCATAGGGGACTTTTTAAAATCGCACATGGTTGTCCTTAAAGTATCACCCGGAGACTTCTCGAACTTCAATATAGCTGATGTGATTATCGAAAAGCTTCGCGCCCGAAATATTTCTGAACTATTTCCCGTGCAATTCAAAACATACGACATCATATCATCGGGGAGAGATGCAGTTGTGTTAGCGAGTAAGTCAGGATCAGTTTAATAGTTTCAGGAACCGGGACGGGAAAAACCTTAGCATTTTCCTTACCATTGGTCAATTCGCTTATAAAAGGTCAGGGATCTCGTCCATCTAGTCCTGTGGTCCTTGTACTGGCTCCAACACGAGAACTAGTGACCCAAATTGCTACAGATTTCGAGTCCATTTCTGTTCATGGCATTAAAGTGACTTCAGTTTACGGAGGAGTTCCTTATAGACCACAATGTAAGATATTATTTGTATGATACAAAGAGATAGGTGACGCCCTTCGTCAGGGTACTCATATTGTAGTTGGTGCTCCTGGCCGAGTTATTGACTTGATGGAAAAAGGTGTTTTAAAGTTGTCAAGCGTTCGTCATGTTGTCCTAGATGAGGTGGATCGTATGCTGGATATGGGTTTCAGTAAAGATGTGGAAAGTATTTTGTCAAAAATATACAACAGCGAAAATTCTGAAAAACCTCAAACTCTTCTTTTCTCCGCTACTATGCCTTCATGGGTTTCAGAGATATCAAGATGTTATCTTTCAGATGATGCCTTAAACTTATCTTTAATAGATGAACAAGAAACGAAAACTTCCACCAATGTCACAGTATTTGGAAATTTCATAAATAACTTTTTCTTTAGCATTTAGCTCTTCTGTGCCCTTATGAATCACGTGCAGCTACGTTATCAGATGTCATAAAAGTTTATTGCAAGGGTCGAGAGTCGAGATGCATTGTGTTTTGTGAACGCAAAAAGGACGCAGACGAGTTATCTGCAAGTGATGCTATGTCAGGTGATTGTCATGTTCTTCATGGAAGTGTTCCACAAGACAAACGAGAGTTAGTTCTTCAAGTAAGCCTTCTGCATAACATTGGTGGTTTATTTTTTTGCTTTATAAAGTTTTGATGGTGTTATTATTATGTCTTTCACAAGCGAATAAATTTCTCAGCATGCTGTACTAAGGTTTGTAATAGTCTCATTGTTTGGGAATACTAGTCAGATTCAAAAGTTTTTACGTATATCAGTCTTCTCACTATTTTTAGTTTTACGTAAGGACACCGCTTTTCACACTTGATATCATTCCAAACCGTTTGTGTCGGAAAAAACAACCACGCTTCGAGTTTAGACTTGAATAATTCAGCCTTTGACTAAACAGTATAGAAAATCTATTTCCATCAAAGTGGAATTTGCTTGTTTATTAGTACTAGTACTTCCGGCACCTGGCTTCTGTATTCCTCGATTCAAATCCCATATTGGTAGAAGTAGTAAGAGTAAAAGCATTACATGAAAGATTAGGGTTTGAAGATGTTATTGAAGGAGTATAATACAGTGAAATAAATTTGGAAAGAGAAAAAGGATAGGGACATGAGGAATTCAGAAGATTAGAATTTTGCTGAACACAAACAGTGGATGCACCTTCGCCATTGCAAACAATTTTGAGCCATGTCATTCAAGGTCTCTAACCATCGATTGCTATTATCTCGCGAATCCCAACCAAGTAGTCTACACCTACCAACATGGCTCAGTCCACTTGTCAGTGACTTCATGGATTTATGCCACGTTTTGGTCTGGCCACCCCTAGCTTTCTTCCAACCTACTACATCATGAAACATTGCACGTCGGTGCAGTCGGTGGTTGGGCATACGTAACACGTGTCCCAGCCATCTCAACTGATGAAGTTTCACTACTTCATCAATCGATTTGCCATCCTTACCTAGTACCCGTTTTCTAACAACTGCATTACTTACCCGGTGGTCCCAGGATATACGAGCGATGCATCAAAGACACTTATGATCGAATACTAGTAGCCTACGAATATCCTCTACTCTTATGGGCCATGATTCACTGCCATAAAGTAGGACGGAACAGACTGCTGCACAGTAAACCCGTCCTTTGGTTGCTAGACGGATATCTCGCCTACGCCATAAATGACGCAAGTTGGCGAAAGCTAGACGAGCCTTCTGTATCCGTGCTGAGATTTCGTCACACACCAGACCACAAGGGCTGATGAGACTCCCAAGATAAATCAAGCGCTCAACTACTTCACTCCCTATCATTAGTTCAGGTGTCGATGCAACCCAATCATGAAGTAACATTTTGCACTTCGAGGGAGAGAATCGCATCCCGAACATGCCTGAATTGTTGCTTATAGTAGTCAAAAGACTGCATTTTGTCAGCGTCTTCACCAAATAGAACTATGTCATCGGCATATTCTCAGTCAACAAGTGAGTCTCCTGGTAAAAGTTCAACTCCTGGAGATTTAGATGATGAAAGTGTTATCTCCAAAAGCATGTCAAAGACAAAGTTAAACAAGAATGGTGAGAGTGGACAGCCCTGACGAACACCACTTGAGGTAATCAATTCTGATGACAGTTCGCCATAAGCTGTAACTCGACCAGTTGTGTTCGAGTAGAGAGTCTTTATGAGGTTAATGTACTTCTTTGATACTTCTTTCAGTGACAAACACTGCCATAGAACCTCACGATCAACAGAGTCAAATGCCGCCTTAAGGTCAAGAAATACTACGATTGGGGGACATCTGAATGTATGTCTATGTTCTAGAACCTGACGTAGAGTGGATATCTGGTCTATGCAACCCCGTCCAGGTCGAAAACCAACCTGGTTTTCTCTAGTCTGCTCTTCACGAGCTTTGGTTAGGCGCCTAAGTATTATTGAAGCTAATATTTTAGACACTATATTAGTCAAACTGATTCCTCTGTGATTGTCACAAGAGGACTTTTGTTCTTATAGACTGGCGCAATCAGTGATTGGAACCAATCAGATGGAATTACGTCCAGTTCCCAGATTCTACCTAAGACCTCAGTCAATCTCACTGCTAGTACTGAACCACCATCCTTAAAAATCTCAGGGGTCAACCTGTCAGGGCCTGCGGCTCTCCCTCGCTTTTTCAACCTCATAGAGAGTTGGAGGACTTACCTCAATTTGTTATTCAGAACGACTGGGGGTCGTGGGTAACTGAAGTGTGGCTGAAGGCCAGTTGAACTGATCCCTAAAGTGTTCTGCCCATCGATCCAATCTCCTGGATTGAGAATGGATGATATGCCCATCTTTGTCTGAGATAGTTTCGCTAATAGTTGGGTTCCTAATGCCGGTTTCTTTAATAAGTCTGAATATCTGTCTGCTGTTACCGCTGCCTTTTCCATCTCTCTTGCTTTCGCTACCCACCACTGTTCACGATCATTGCGTAGGCTTCTTATTAGCTTGCGCTTAAGTTGACTCCGCTCTTCATTATGTTGAGATCCAGGTGGGATGAGTTTTCGAGCATCTATCAGTGCGGCAGATGCTGTTGAGATCCATTGTTTCTCCCTAACCTTATGGTTTACCTTACTAGCGGATATCACTGCTGTTTCCACAGCTTTTCGGATGTCATTCCACGCTGCTTCGGGGTGGGCACAACTTAGATGTCTGTCTAACTGTTTTTCCAGTTGTTCTTGAAATATATTCTTAGCTTGCTTATCATTAAGTAGAACCCTTAGATGCTTCCCTGCAGTGTCTTTCCTACGTCCAGTAAGTCGCAGACAGATACGTGCTCGCAATAGAGCATGATAAGTCTAAATATGTGCTCCAGAATGAGCGACAGTCTTCTATCGAGCCCCTCCATCGGTGCCTGATAGCGATGTGATCTAATTGGGTCCAACATTGGGACGAATTCGGGGGTCGCCATGTCAAAAGATGTTTTTCCTTATGCTTAAAGTTAGTATTTGTAAGAAATAGGCGATTATCTGAGCATAGCTGCAACAGACGGTCGTCATTATCTGTTCTTTTAGTCACGACACCATAAGATCCATCCAGGTGTCTCTCCCTTTCACTTAGTTTACCTACTTGAGCATTGAAGTCACCTGCCACTATTACTACATCAGAACGCCTAGCTTCTCGGAGAAGGTCAAAAAGTTTCCTGTAGAACTCATCTTTTATATCGTCTGAGCTGCAGTCAGTGGGAGTGTAGGCAGAGACGACGAAGAGGCGACGACGAGTTTCCCTATCTTTCCGGGTCCTTACTGATCCGTTTAGTCGAACAGCGCATAGAAGACTGTCTGCTGGGATCCAGTCTAAAAGAGCTAGTTCTTCCCTAGGATTTAATGCTATACCTACTCCAGCGAAGCCACGGGAAGCAGCATCAGGGCTTCCAGATACACGAAGCGTGTATCGAGATGGTTCTTTATTTTGATTAGGTGTGGTAAAATGAATGACACCACTCGGATCTTGTATGCGCGTTTCGGAGACGCAGCACACATCGATGGTGTAAGATTCTAAAGTCATAGCTAAGGAAGCCTGTTGTCCTATTTGGCACAATGTTCTGACATTGAAAGTTCCTACATGTAGTTTAGGGCGTGGTTTCAGGAGACCAGGAATAACGTTCCGTGTACTCGAATCGTTTGCCCTAGCGGTGCGAGGTGATAAAAGGACGTGGGAAGGGTTAGTCGTGGAGATAAGAGAGTTGTTAGGAGGTGTAGGAAGGGTTTGAAAGTGACCAACTTGGTCTCGTGTGCTGTTACGGGTTTGAGGGCTAATATCACTTCCCGGCTGCCCACACCGTGGAAGGGTATTTTTTGAGGGACCTGAAAAAGAAGTTGGATTAGTGTTGGTCTTAACGACCTGGGAGCGTGACCGCAGTGTCCAAGGGACAATTGCTTGAGGCCTGTCACACACGGCCTTTTTGTGGGGGATTTTTGACGTGTTAGCTCCGTTCTTCAAAGGACCTTACCACCGGAGACGGAAATCCGTGGGATATGGCGAGGTGGGCATTTTTAGGGTCGACCTTTTTCAACCCCACCCCTCCTTGTGGGAAGGCAGCATCGCTGTTATGCTGGTTGTCTGAAGGAAACACCTCACTGTCGTCACACCTCTGTACAGTCAGCAGTACAACTTCGCCTTCGGACCTTGGGATTGCTGCTTTTAGTCTTACCGCTCTTCAACCGACCTGTCTGGTATGGTAGTACCTTGAGGAACGATTGTTCCAGCCAGCATAGCTCGATTGGTTCATCACGATAGGCAAGCCCGACCACCACGTCAAGGTAGCAGCAACGGTCGGGGATAGGATAGGTTGAGTTAACAAGTTTTCGTTAACTCAACCTATCCTTTAGTATAGTGACTTAGATCCAAGCATATTTACCAGCTTCTATATTGACCACGGCTAGCGTTGCGTAGCCAAACTCAAGTTAACATGCATTTAAAATGGGCGAATTCGCAGTAAAACTTAATCTGAAGAACTCCAATCCTGTTTATCATCTTAGTGCCTATGCTCTTCACTCACTTTCATTTTTTAAGATGAGTCACCCTAATGTGCTACATCATAAATTCTACTTCACTATACATCGGGCTTAACTACTCTAATATTCCATTATTGTAGGAAGCAATTTCCTACAGGGGTAACTTTAAGCTATTCGTCGGCAATTTCAAAATCATAATTTCAATAGTTCTGGTAGAGTTCAGGTCAGAAACGTAATTCATTTGTTCAAGAGTCAAACAGCATGCTTGCATTTCCCGGGACAATTTTCTTAAACCATCTGTTTGGTTCCTTCTTATATTAGGAAAATTTAGCAAGTTGTCGATGAACGTGCGTGCTATTACGTGCTTCTGACTAAAGGTTTCTTCTAAAAGCTTTAGGGCCTGATGATAGCCTATCTCTGGTTCTAGTATAGCACAATGAAGAATGGCGGCTTTCGCTTCGCCGTCACAATATTGAATCAAGTAATTTAGTTTAGCTCTAAATCCAATATTCTCGCTTCCGATGCATTCCTCGAAATTTCTAATAAAACTCCAGTAATTTATTGGGGTCCCATCGAATCTTAAGATTTCCCATTTTGGTAAATACAGATTTTTTAATATTACATCCTCGCCGTTGTTTATTGATCGACCGAAACCCTCAATTCCCTGGCGACGTAACTTTTCTAGCTCAATTTCTTTTTCTAACTGAGTTATACGTAGTCTAGCTAACTCTAATTCTATCATGCTATTAGTTTCGGGTTTGTCCTTTTCAAGTTGGTCCTCATCATAAGCTCCCAGATGATGTGGTGATAACTCTGGAACCTCATCGGAATCGTAGTATTTATTAGAAGTCATTTCAGTAGATATATCGAAGGTTACTGTTTGAAACTTTGCAGGCAGCAATTTCCTACAGGGGTAACTTTAAGCTATTCTCTAAACTGTCGAATACAGAGTCTTGGTTTTGCCAAAGTCGGAACAAGTAAGCTATTTGGCCTAATAAACTTTATCTGTTTCTAAAACGTAAATTAACAACATTAGTATGCGAATAAACAGTAGTCTATTACATAGGGAAAAGGTGGAATATAAACGACATACCGAACAGTAACTGGAGAATAGGAAAAATGAGTCAAAGGGGAGAATATTGTGTTAGAATGAACATAAAACTGTGATTGGTGGATAAAACAAAGACAGTCATACAAGGTCAAAGGATTTAGTGCGGTGGTGAGCGTTCACTTATCATTGGTGTGTTCGCTTATCGATCTCTCTTTACAATTATTATCTGCTGAGATACTTGTTAATTTTCAACTTTGTAGAGATTCCGTGACGGTAAATACAGGACGCTGCTGACAACTAACGTGGCTGCTCGTGGTCTAGATGTTCCAAACGTAGATTTAGTTATACAGTGCCATCCTCCACGGGATATTGAAGACTATATTCACCGTTCAGGTCGAACTGGTCGAGCCGATCGAAGTGGTACTTCCATCTGTTTTTATACTTACAAGGAACGTAGTTTGCTTTCCAGGATTGAAAACATGGCGGGTATAACATTTCGCCGCATATCTGCACCTACTATTAACGACATAACTACTGCTTGGGGTGAAGAAATTTTAAAGTAAATGTGATATGTGTTATGATTTCTCTTGTTACGACCTGGCTATTCTTATTGTTTAGTATTATTGGATACCACTTCATTCGACAAGTCCCCAAATCAGAACATGGTTAAACAGGAACGTAATTATACTCCAAATAAACAAGGTTGGATGGAATTTAGAGTTACAATAAGAATTTTTCTGTCAAGTAAAGCTTCTGCTGGAAAAATCCCGTTAATTGTCTGAGGATTTGATGTGAAACGATAGATAAGAAGGGACCTCTATAAAATATTTGGTGGTCCCCTTCCCCTTTGATTTTTGCAGAGTACTTTTAAATATACCAACTAAGCGTTCTACCTGGCCATTGGATGGAGAATGAAACGGAGGTGTTCGGACATGATTAATTCTGTTCTGCTAACAAAATTCTAAGAAGATAGCAGACTTGAACCGTGTCCGAATATCGCTAACTACCAATCCTGTAACCCCGAAACGACTAAATAGTTGACGTAATTTTCTGACTGTTCAGCTTGCAGTTGCATGTCTCATGAGAAAAACTTCCGGCCACTTGCTGTATGCGTCAACTACCAAAAGGTAAGTTTGTCCATGAAGTGGACCAGTAAAGTCTGAGTGCATACGCTGCTACGGTGACTACAATATTGACATGATTGCAGCTCTGCTTTCTGTGGTACTTTCACTCAAAATCATACGAGCGTGGTACTTTTGTTGCTAATGCGTATTTGATGCACAAACGGGATGGCTGCTCCATTTAGGTGTCTAAATGAGGCCAGTATACATAACTTCGTGCTAGCGCTTTCATGTGATCTATTCCAGGATGTCTTGCGTGCAACTGTTCATGCACTGCTGGTCGCAGCTTCTTTGGGATTATGATACGTTCGACAAACAAAAGGCGGTCGTCGATGATTAAGATAGTCTACTCTGGCAAAACTGCTGAAGCGCTGTGAAGCTGATTTTCGAGGGCTTTAACTAGTTATTTATAACCTTGATTCGAACATTTACTAACTGATTTGCGAAACGCTAAGTTATTTTTCAGTCATCATGCTCTGAAGTAGTTTTTACTCTAGTCGACTAAATAAGTTGAGTGGCATGAAGAACTCAGAGCTTCTTGTGTTTAAGGGTATATAGTTTTAGTTGGACTCAAAGATATTGAGGTTTTTCAGTTGTATGTACAACTGGAAAAAATGTGTTTTCAAAGTACACAGTTGCATTAAACTACTCATATTTTTGTCTGCATAATGGTAATTTTGATTTCTCCTAATCTCACTTTAAAATGCCAAGTAAAGTTGTTTTAAGTCCCCACCTCTCATTTATAATTCCGTTTGTGAACATTATGGTAGCATCTGACCCATGAAAATACACGTTTACTTTATTATTAATATTATGGCAGAATAACATAGGGTCCTTTTTAAAAGTTTCAAAATGTCGGGCAACCTGTTAAAAAGTTACATCCTATGAGTAATTCAAGGATACAATAACGTCCAAAAAATTAGAGAAGCCACAATACCAAGATGTAAATTGATTGTTGACATGTAATGTACATGTTGGCTTCCCTGTATCTGTCAAAGGACACCCTTTTTCGTTTGATTTTTATCATCAGTAGTAAGGAATTGAAGTAGTTTGACCATGTGGTTACTATCAGTTACCAATATTACTATTGATTTGGCCATGATATGTTATAATGCTGATTGTATGCACCATTAGCTAATCTTGCATAAGTTAAAAATTTTACTTGTACATTCAGCTAGTATTAATAACTTTCTTCCTATTTTTAATGTAGAACATTCTCCAATGTGCCCAAATCTACTTGGTCCACGTTTGTACCTTTGGCCTTATCCATTGCAAACCAGCTTGCACAGAACTCAAAAACTGGGAAAGTGAAAAAAGATTCTTGTGACGACTTAGGGGTTGATGATGATAAGACACCTGGTCGTAAGCCTAAATCTAAAGACATACTTCGTGTTCTTTGTTGTGCATTAGCTTGCCTGAGTGGCAAAGAAGGTGCAGTTGAAAGTCGCTCTGCGCTCACGGCACAGATAGGTAAAACAGCCTATAAGCTTGAGTTGAATTTTATTGCACGAAGCAAGGGACTAGCCTTCGCTACATTACGAAACCACTTACCGGAAAACATTGTGAACAGTGTTCATAGTCTAAGTTTCATTCGTGGGAAAATGGTAAGCCGTTTTTGAAAAAAAAATTTGATAAAAATTTCCAATGTAATATGCTATTTTGACAATATTCGACTGTCGATCTACAGTGTTTGTCAAGTCTGCTTACTATTTTATACCCGACTTCATAAATATACTCGAAAGGTAACCTAAATCCTGGGTTTTCAAGGGCTGTCAATGACTAAGAGGATGAAGATGATACAGTCCTACTTAATGAAAACACTGACATGTTACTGAGTTTTTTTGTCTTCCTTGAGTAATAGTGCCAAAATGTTTGCAATGCCTTTCTCTCCTTTTGAATGCAAAATGTTGTTTTAGGACTAGTGTGGTTTAGTGTCTAATCTGACTATAGGGAGTTAAGGATCTAATCATGTTGATCACTTAATTTATCCTGCCACTTATCAATAGTCCTAGTGAGCCAATGACTTTTTCGGGATTCTGAACCTGTGCCATCCGTGGCTCAGACCAAATGTTCATATGATCAAGGTACGGAAGATATACAATGTATCATATTGCTGTTGTTTTATAATTATGGAGCATGACCATTTGTAGGTTGTCAATGTTTGGTTATAATCATTTTTATAGTATTTGCTGTAAGTGATGAAACCAGTAAATAAGGAATACAGGAATTATGGGTATGATCTATCTTGTTATCTAATACACACATATTGCTACAACTGGGCACCGAAAAAAATTTGCTCCGTACAAACAAGAAAATAAAATTGTAGAGAAATATATGATGGAATATAATTAAAAACGTTGATGAAAAAAATAAGTGAACTAGAGTATTGTAGTAGAAGAAAAGTCCAGTTAGATTGCAACCAGAAAGAAGCCTTACCCGTAACTAATCAAATGAGATTTGTAGGCGCATATTTATCTGGTGCTTCCTTGTACCAATATTTATGTGTTTAAATAAATAAATAACTAAGTTAGCTACATTTTTTTATATAAATAATACAATTAAAAATTATAATAAGGTCGTTATTTACTTCTGTTAACGTCCTTAATTACTGAATTGTCATCTTTTGGACATTAACGAGGAGGTTATGACGTTTCAACAGATACCAGTCTTTTACAGCTTTCGTTCATATCACAGCGGCATTTCATAAACTATTTTTATCACCACATCACCAGTGATCAATGCCCACTTTAGAATTCACTCGGATGATAGCTTTAACACATGCCCAAGCTATTGAAGTCAATTTTTCAAGGTGCTATCACTGCTCACAAACCTCAACATTATTAACATCCTATTGCCACTAAATGTCAGCAATCCTTTGGAAACAACGGTAATCGGCCACAGTTGTTGGACACCATCGAATCGGAGGGGCTAGGTTTCACAAAAATAGAAACTACTCTCAGCTAACCTTTTGTAGCCAGACTAACATCGTGACGGAGTCAAAGATGATCCGAATTAGCATATACCTTTCTAGCTTTCACTTAACGTAAATTGATCTCATCACCAGCGCTCACACAACTGCGAGGAGACAAACACCTAACAACCCACTATCGAGGTATAGCAGGTATAGCCTCCTCCCAGTCTTGCAGAAGTATCCCGTACTTAAAAGATGCAACGTCTATGTCATACCCATTAACGCTGATTCTATCTCTTGTGTATCATCACACACTAATACAATATCATCTACATAATCAAGGACGAAAATATTTTCTACATGTAAGAAATCGTCATCACCACCACTTCGTACTTCTGTAAAAGATGTTTCAAAAATGTCATCGATCGCAATGTTGAGGAGAAATCCTGAGACTGGGGAAACCTGCCTAAAGAGGGAGAAGGGTGGTTGAATACTATCATCCTGCCTGAAGTGTTCGTTCACAAACCCTTCAGCATATTAATAGACTTGTCAGTCATACTGTTCAGCAGGTAATCTCAGCATAGTCTTGTCTAACGAATTGAAAACGGCCCTGATATCAAGAAACAACAATTGTTGACGTCCAATAAGTGTGACAGTACTCTAATTTTAGGCAGGTAGTGGAAATATAATCAATACACCCACAACGTAATCGGAAACCAACCTGCCCACCTCAAGTCACTGTTTTATGGGTCTTGCTCAATCCTCGAAGTACGACTAAAGCTGATAGTTTAGATATAATCAGAACTAGACTTGTTTCCCAATAGTTGTTCGATAGACAATATAGGGCCTTTTTAAGGATGAAGGCAATAATTACTTTTTTTTTTACAGTGTTAAAACACTTTCCCCAAAACTTTCTGAGCGATTCATTCATTTCCATAATCAGGAGTTCCCCAAAATCCCTAAAAAGAGATGAATAAGTCCTCTAAACCCCGTGAATTATGACTCTTCAGAATTTAAAGTTCCTTGTGGACCTCCTGTTCGTTAGGTATATCAGTCCTCATCGACCATTAAGGGCAGTGTAGTCTGGTCAATGTTGCTGGGGTTGTAAACCAACCGTCTTGTTTTCGAAAAGCTTTTATCTGACGAGTCCCCAATGGCCACCCAAGTGACTCTCTCTTTCTTGCCTAGACGCCTGACCTGTTGATTCAAACCCCCTGACTAACACTAGATATAAATACTCAGTCGTTCGATAGGACTATAAATCTTCATCAATCAAAGTATCTGGGGTGCATACCGTAATTCTCAGTTTGCACACGGTACGTTAATAAGCCTTATTCCCCACGAAGTTTTTTCTATCAGAAGAGCTTCAAACGTAAAGACTGGATATTTATAGTAACGACTGTCATGTTATGTAAATCCGTAACGCTCTACAATGTTATTAAGATTTATGTTACTGCAATAGTATTCATACTAAATTTATTTTATACTCATGTCATTATTACAAGGGATACGTGTTCGATCTGCCTTCAGAGCATGATGAATTTGTAAAGTCGACATGGCCAAATGATGCACAAGCTAAACTTTCGCTACTTTCTGAAATCCCAGAATTAGAAGAGGAAGAATCTTTCAATCAAGGTCGTTCAGGAAATTATGGATCCTGGCAGAGTCGATTTAACAGCGGCTCGAGACAGTCATTTAAACGTTCTTATAGTAATGGTACTTTCAAAAGTTCATTCAGAAGTTCAAAGTCCTTTAAATTTGATAACAGTTGAATAAACATTTGCTCTGAATTTTAATCTTTTTTATATTCCACATATATTTGTGTGGTAGCAAACTTAGTTGTCATGCTTGAGTTTCAAATCCATACTTCTCATTATCGTGCTTTGTCGGGTATAAAAACAATCGATAGAATACATACTCTGAGAGAGCTAGGATTTTTACTAGCTACATGATTGTTATTAGTAAATAATTATACGACGCTCCTCGGCGTTTTGTGTTTTTTCATATATATAAGATTAGCAACCGGTAGTTTTAAGGTCCGCTATGATTTTTGTTTTATCTCACCTTCTTACTTCTATCAGTAGCATTCTATCTAATCAAGTGCTAAACTTGTATTTGAGCATTCCGACTAAGTGTGCTTAGTCGGTCTTTACGTTCTACTTTCAGATGATTGATATCTTTCATCAGTAACATCGAGTGAATAATATTGGGGCATCGCACGTGGTTTTGATTTTATCCAGTTTAAAGCACTATCGTTTTAGATTCACATATGCTGCTTCAGCTTCTTTCACCAAGTTCACCGATTTCTCGCTCTAAACTAACCGTACGTATGTGATCAATGGTCTCGCTGGTGCGGCTGACCAGTTGTTCGTAAATTTCAGCTTGTAATCAAGACTCAGTGTTGATCCCTTGTTTCTTCTGTTAGTCTTCTCTAATTGAGTTAGATCAATATATATGTATATATTTTCTATATCTATTAGACTAGAAGATTTTATTGCCAAAACAAACGCACATTAATCATGTTCTCATTCTTATTAAAAAAATCCAGATTATAATGCTATGCTAGTTGTGTTCATAGCTAACCAATCAAGTCGTTGCTTAGGTTCCCATTGCATTGATCTGCTCTGATATGTCTGTAAACTACCTCTGTTGCATGTGACCTACCAATTGAAAGACATTATTGCCCTATTATATTAGTGTAACTCGTAATTTTCATTCATTTCGATGAGACACAATACTAGTTGGTGTGTTTGTGCGTTGCACTTGATGACTGTAATTCCTTTAACTATTGTACTAGTCTAATCGTTTTATAAACAGATAAAGTTTAAAGCCAAGTTGTCCTTGTTCTGACTATGGCTTTTACATAGACTCTGAGGTCGCCAGTATCGCGTTTACAGTTCTAGTATAGTATATCTGTGGGACAAATTAAATCCCACAGCTTATGAATTAGAAACTATCCCTCAAACTGGAAAACAGATTGCTAGATTCCTTTTAACTCTGTGCCGTTCAGTAATTCAAGAGACAAATAACATGCATGGGTTATTATGTACTCAAAAATAAGTTTTCAACAACACTATCTTGTAAATACAACTTTTTAGCATCCAAACTTCATTGTTCCTTTTCAGTTTATCAGATTGACCTGAAAAACATTTAGATTTAACTACAAAAGATTTCCTTTTGATAATTAAACGGTAAGATATTTTCTTTTGCAATTACTTTTGTCATTAACCGTGGCGAATGAAGATAAATAATAACTTCAAAGTTTACAACAGTAAAAGGAAAGTTAGCAAAGTCAGGTAACTCAATGGAACTCCCATTAATTAATATTAACTTGTGTTGAAAGTTCATTATGATTCGAACATACCTATTAATTAGCCTAATAAGCATTTAAATCATAAGACATCCGTAATATAAACAAAAAACATGCTGATAGCTTACTAGTTATGTTGTAAATTAGAAGGAATTGGATAGTGATTAAAAGAATTTATTAATCTTTATATATATATATGAAATCAAATTTATTGTAGTATTTCCAAAACTAGAAATTATTATTGTTCATAATTTGAACTGCTAATTTTGAGCAATCAAATATTATGGTAGATTCCGTAATCCATTGACTATACTGCAACAGTATACGGATACTTTACAAAAATCTCAAAAACTGTGCTTAATTATTTGAAATCCCCATGATATTAAAACAATAATACCTGAACGAAGAATATTCTTCCCAATAAGTTCTCTGTAGGTTCTACAATTATCTGTCCAATTTAATAATTCGAAAAGTGGCCAGGTTTAAAGCAAAGTACATCGTTTCGAGTTATAGCATGTGAATTTAGTATTGTTAAATAAAGTTGTTAATGTCAAGATGACTAATATTCAATGTTAACTTCAATCAGCTTATACGTTAAGTGGAATTATGAGATCCATGATCAGAGTAAATATGGGTCAAATAGGGTTAGAGAAATAATATTGTACCTACAAGGTCGATCAAATGTATGGTGGAAGACTATGTTGTGCATAAAGTTTTGTAAAATTAGTAAGAAATAATAAAGTGGGATGATTGCTAAGTAGACGAACCATGTATTCGGGAGGTCATTAGGAGGTTCTAAGTCAATAATATAAAGACATGTAAATAAAAATAAAGACAATCATATTTGAGTAAGAAAGGTTGTAGGCACATCGGTCAAATTAGGTGACCAAGGCAAGAGAAGCTGTTGAAGATAATGCATTTGCACACATAGCTACTGTTTTTAATCCGATAGCTGACTTTCTCCACAAGTGAAATCGAGATGATAAATAAAAAACGAGGTAGTCATTTTAGGTGCCCCCAAATGCCCTGGTACGGATGAGAGTGGGGAGAGTCTACTCTCCCTCTCGAAATGCTCTCACATGGCCAGCGATTATATAGCCTCTGCCAGGGAAGTCCTACTCACTGCCTTCTCGTGGCCGAGGTGTTGTTTACGAAGTAAAGAGGACGAAAAGCGAATGTCCGGCGCTTTAACCGGGTTGGTGGACACGGAGGGTCCACCTAGGGGAGTTGGAAAACCCTGATTCCAAACCAATGGTGCACATGGGCTCCAGTATCCTGATGGAACGAATGGCGGAAGAACCTATCATTGGTCACCGGCTACCATGGGACTGCATCTCCTCACGATTCTCCACTGCCTTGTGGATCAGACCTTTAGGTCAAAGGCTCCGGGTGTGGCCCCCTAAGAAAACCACCTGCTTCGGTTTGGGCACCCGGGCAGTATCACAGCCCACACACAAATGAATGAAATGATGAACTCTATTGACGATAATATCCCTGCTCATACTAAAAGCAAGACAATTTACATTATTATTATTATTACCTTTATTATTATCATTATTCACCATATCGCTAACTCACCCCCTTTTATCCCCAATTTGTGTAACCTTACTTTTCAACTTATGCAGCAGCTCGCCCATGGTGGAAAATCTGTCCTATCTAAACGATCTCCAGTCACTGTCTGGTTGAAAGTGAATGATTCCACCGATAATGAATACTGAAGCAGTCTTTCTGAAACCACGTACGCCGTTCAAGCTGGCTTCCTTCAACGTTCGCACACTAATGCATATCAGACAACAGATAGGGCTGGCTATGTCTTTGGGAGGTCTTAATGTTGATGTTTGTTGTCTATCCGAGACCCGTATTCAAGACTCTAGTGAAGTACTACAAATCCGCTCTCCATCTGTCGCCTCGAAAAGCTTGTTCCACGTGCGCTTATCCGGGGACCCTGTGGCATCTTCGTCTGGTCTTGCTGGCGTTGGTGTCGCACTTAGCGCTAGGGCTGAGGCAGCACTAATCGATTAGATCCCCATTAACAGTCGGTTATGTACTGTTAGATTAGAAAGTTCCATCAAAGTGAGAAGAAATCGGCGTGAGAAACGGTGTCTTTTCGTCATCTCCGCCTATGCCCCGACAGTTTGCAGCCCGGATGCAATCAAGGATGAGTTTTACCATCAGTTAACAGTTCTTCTCCAGAAAGCGCGTTCGACAGATATTGTAGTACTAGCCGGAGACTTGAATGCACAGGTCGGGCGTCTAGGCACAGAAGAGAGTCGTCTAGGTGGCCGATGGGGACTTGTTGGTCGCAGGACAGATAACGGGGACCGTTTGCTGCAACTGTGCACAGACCACAACCTGTTTCTGGCCAGCACTAACTTCCGGCACAGTCATCGCCGGCGTGCCACCTGGCGTCCTCCCTCTGCATCCCAAGCCTGGACATCGCGATCAGCTACCGCTGGCGTGGTTGTGTACAAGACTGCCGCTCATTTTGGAGAACCTATCTGGAGTCTGATCATGCCCTGGTCTGCGCCAATCTCACCTTACTTTTCAGTGGCCGAAGGATTGACCACCACCAACAGATTGATGGTAGTAAACTGGCTGCAACTTCTGTTGCAAGTAAGTATCGAGCGGAGCTAGCCTCTAGGCTAGCTACCACCCCACCGAAAAGTATAGATGAGCATTGGTTGTATCTTCACGACGCCATGAAAATAGCGAGTAAAGCCGCTTGCGGCTTCGCGAAACGTCCCTCTTACAAACACTGGGTTTCTTCTGGCTCCTTACAACTGATGGAAGCCCGTCGGTCTACTCCGGGTGACCGTGAGTTTGACCACAAACGAAGGCTGTTACGTAATGAAATCGAGCAAAGCTTGCGTAAGGACCGGGAAGCCTGGTGGTCGGAGCGTGCTAATGAGATGGAAGCAGCAGCTGCATCTGGTAACTGCTGGAAGCTCTTCCAACTCATCCGAGCCACTGGCAGCAAGAAGTCTGGTGTGAGTGAAACAATCTGTGAGGATGACAGGATGCCAATCACTAACATCTGTCGACGTCTTGGACGATGGGCGGAATCTTTCGAAGGGCAGTTCAACTGGCCTGCTGCTCCGGCAACATCAACCAGCTTGCCCTGCCCCCCATGGCCGGTGACGACTGATCCACCAAACGAGGCGGAAGTCCTCAAGGAACTTCAACTCTTGAAACGTTACAAATCACCTGGCCCAGATGACTTACCTCCGGCTCTTTTTAAAGATGGTGGTGACTTTCTGACTAAGGAATTGACTGTGTTGTTTGCAAAGGTTTGGGAGCAAGAAAGTGTTCCAACATCTTGGAATGAGTCAATAGTCGTCCCTATCTTTAAAAAGGGTTCACGTTGTTCCTGCAATAACTATCGGGGGATAAGTCTACTTCCGATTGCGTCCAAACTATTGGCTTCTATCATTCTTCGTAGGTTGTTTAAAACCCGAGAACGATTGACTCGCGAGGAGCAGGCTGGTTTTCGTTCTGGTCGAGGATGCATTGATCACATCTTCACCCTCCGCCAAATGTTAGAACACCGTCATACTTATCGCAGGCCAACAATCGTAGTGTTTCTTGATATCAGGGCGGCCTTCGATTCGTTGGACAGGACTGTTCTCTGGGATTGTCTATTGAAGAAGGGTGTGCCTGAGAAGTTCATTAACATCTTAAAGGCCCTGTATACGAACACCTCAGGCAGAGTGAGGGCATACAACCACCTTTCTCCCTTGTTCCACTCGAGCAGTGGGGTTAGGCAGGGTTGCCCGATCTCACCATTCCTCTTCAACTTTGCCATCGACGAAATCCTGGAAACAGCTCTGATGGATGTAAGTAATGGCGGTGTGGATATGTTGCCTGGAGAACGACTTCTCGACCTTGAGTATGCGGGTGATATTGTCTTACTGTGCGATAATGGCCAAGGCATGCAATCAGCACTTAATCAGTTGGTAATCAGTGTCCGCAGGTACGATATGTGCTTTGCACCCTCCAAGTGCAAAGTACTCCTACAAGACTGGCAGGATTCTCATCCTGTACTCACCCTGGATGGTGAAGAGATCGAAGTAGTTGAGAAGTTCGTGTATCTAGGTAGCTATATAAGTGCTGGTGTTGGCGTGAGTGATGAGATTGATGCACGTATAGTGAAAGCCAGAGCGGCTTATGCCAATCTGGGCCATCTTTGGCGCCTTCGTGATGTTAGTCTGGCTGAAAAAGGTCGGATCTACAACGCGTCGGTGAGAGCAGTTTTGCTCTATGCTTGTGAAACCTGGCCTCTCCGAGTTGAGGATGTTAGACGTCTCTCTGTGTTCGATCATCGTTGTCTCCGAAGGATTGCTGACATACAGTGGCAACACCA